TTGAAATTATTTTTTATTTTGCACAAACAATATATATATATATATATATATTAATTAATAACAAAGAGCTGTTTTGAATAACTTGAAAACCTAATAAAGCTAATCTTATATATAAAAATTGCATAATCTCTTGTAGATTATTTTTTTTTACTAGGTAATAGTTTAAAATTATTTTATTAATTTAAATATTGACTCTTTTCTTTTAGTTCTTTGCCAGAACGACACTCGTTTTATGAGCTACAAAAGATTAAGACAAAAGTTATTAAGTAATTACAATAAAAATATAAGACCTGTTCAATCTGGTGGAAACATGACAGTAATCAATATTACTCTGGCCGTTCTCCATAGTTTCGATTTAGTGAGTTTCATTCTTTTCTTTTAGTGTATGGCCAACATCATCTCCTTCTATTTTCTATTATTAAATATATAAGTATATAATTAAATAAGTATACTCTATGGATGCAAATTACAGAAATAGTGAAAGTTTTAACGACAAATTTATAAAGTTCGTACAAAAGAATCTAGTGTAAGCTTTCTTTTAAAATATCTAGTGTTATTTTATCGATAATAGTAAACTTTCAGATCGAAGAGAACGAAACTCTTGTTTTAGATGGATTTATTCGATTGGTAAATATATTTGAATTCTTGTAATATATACAAAAATTGATTTATTTGAATATTAATTTAAAAATAAAAAGTTTACTTATTGTAGAAATGGTTAGATTCTCGGTGGAAATGGAATCCAAGCGAGTTTGGAGGAATCGATTTCTTTTCTATGGGAGTAGATGAAGTTTGGTTACCGGACATTTCTGTATACGAAAGGTGACTGTTATCATTAACTGAGATACAAAACGTATATAATTCTTAATAATGTAATTATTTTCAGTATTCCGGCCGAGAAGGTAAGAAGTTTATTGATGACAAGACCCATGCTCTATCCATCTGGAAAAGTAACCTGGTCACCTAGAGTCATTTATCAATCTCATTGTCCATTGACATTCGATAATTATCCAGATACCATTCAAGTGTGCAACATCACTTTTGGTTCTTGGACTCAGGACGGAATCAGTGTCGATTTAAAGATAGAATATCCTTACATATATACTAATGTAATGGCAAAAAATCACAAATGGCGCTTTTTAAACTATTCGTCCTCCAGATTAATCAAGTACAGAAACATGATGCCCAATCCCTTTGTAAACGTCGTGTACTCTCTACAGTTTCAAAGGTTACCGTCGGGATTTCAAAAGATCGTGAAACCTTCCATAATTATTGCCATGGTGTCGATGTTACTCATGTTCTGGTTGCCCCCGTCGGCAGATAAGAAATTAACTTTAGGGACGGTTTCTTTATTTATATTAATGATTCTCCTGCTTTATGTTTCTGCATTGAAAATGCCACCTTTGGCTTTCAACTTTTATGGTAAGTTAATTTTATTCTTTCTCTAATAGGCTATATAATTTACTTACAACATTCTGTATAATTCTGTTAATAATTTTTATTTGAAAAACTTACAATATTATTTAATCTCTTAGTTTCTCCAGTCCGCTCTGTTATCTACATCGTTGTGTCGGCCATTCTCTCGGAAATCCTCGTACTGATCGTCACGAAATTAACCATTCGACCACCAGAAATAATCACCAATCTTCTACGCGGATCTTTATCCAAAATATTATTTTTGTATTCGGAAGAGACGAATAAAAAAGAAGAGAAAGGTTACCAGGAAGTATGGCAGAGAGTAGCCATGGCGGCTGACAGATTTCTCTTTATGCTCTTTATTGTAATTATTGTTATAAACGAGTTGATTTAAATGACTATTTGAATTTAATATTTCACTCTTTAAACTTCTGTTACGTAATTGAATGGAATAAAAATTAAATTTTATTCGCGATTTTACCTTTGGTTTTAACTTAAAATCAATTTGCACCATAAATAAAGTCTTTATTAAATAATTATTTAATTACAAAATATTTATCGAAGATTAATGTAATTATTTACTTTCGAAAAAAAAATGTAAAAGTTTTGTGAATAATTTATCATGGATTTTTGTTAATTCATTTAAGAAATATGTATAAAGGAGACGAGTAAAGTTGATAAATCTCAGAATTTTTATTAGGAATTATAATCATTTTGTGTGTAGCCTAAATATATGTTACTTATGTAATTAAATACAGCGGAAAATATATTAATTTCGAAGATAATTAAAGATATATTAATAGCTTAATTCTGGTTTAAATTGCCAATCGCTGTAATTCTGTTAGAGTCAGTAGGAGTGATGCAATTGTAGTGTGAGGTGTATATTACGACATATTCCGAGAAATATTCCTGGAAAGAGAAAAATAAGTATTTTGTTTTGGTGTAAATAAATATTTTACCTGGTGCATACAAAAGTATACATTTACTACGTATATAAAAGCAAAATTCGATGAAAATAGTCTTGTATAACTCATTTGACTGTGACTGAATCGCCACATATTCGTAGAGGTCGATAAATGTCTGTACACAAATTAGAAGAGACGGCTCACGTGGTGATACGTGGGATTTGGTCACACCTATTTCGTAAACAAACAATTTATTTACACTTTAAAATTTATGGCTTCTATACTGGAATTACTATAATATATTTTTATCAACTTGTTTTCATTACTTGTAATAAGTGAATATTATTATAAGAGAAGATAACAGAGATTCCGTATTATCCTAAGCTAACCTGTAACTAAATACAATACTTTTCTTATAGAGTAATTCATAAAAGAAAGTTTAAAATGTTTAAACGTATTAAAAAATTATTTGTTTCTGTTACTTTTTAACATTTAACTTCGACGTGAGGAATTCATATTAAAATGTAACTGCAATAAAAACTATTGTACTGTACATATTAGCTGTATAATAAATAATATAAAAAATGTTCTTTAATTAAATTCACCGCGATATAATAAAAGAGACATAAAAGTACTCAAATATAAATCTTTTATTCGTAATCTTTAATCTGAAATGGTCGTGGATGTCCATTTAATCCACAGTAAATATAAAATTATCCTGTTATCTAGCAGTCATTCAATAAATTCCGTTCGTGTTACTGCTGCGATCTGTCTCAAACAACGTTTATTACCGTAAAATACTGTACCATCTTGTCCCAAGTATCAACTTGTCTTCATGCTTTCTCTTATATAAATGTACAGAGATGATTAGTTACATTTTTAAATGTACAGAGATGATTTAGTTACATTTATATAAATGTACAGAGATGATTTAGTTACATTTATATAAATGTACAGAGATGATTTAGTTACATTTTTAGTTACATTATTTTTAAATAAGCTTCTTTATTTTTCTGTTCAGAAACATTTTTTTTTTAAATTAAAAATATCCACTTTATTGTATGATCGTGATTTTACAATCTATAACCTGTTATTTCCTACGACGTAATCTGAATTTATAACAATAAGATTATAGGAAATACGACAGTTCGCTTAACGACGATTTTCTTGAATAAAAATTAATTTTTTTTTCTTAGATTTGTACATCTAAAGTGTCTAGACTCCAGCCACTACAGGCCTAATACAGTGGTTTCCAAACTTTTGTGACTTGTAGCCTCCTTAACCTGCTGCTATGTGATTACAAAATGAAAGCAAAAAAATCATTTATTGTAGGTAAAACTACAAATGAAAGGAGGTTCTAGTACCCTGTTGGGCCATCTCTAGCGTAAATACACGATGTGATACGGGCGGCGTGGAGGCATTTCGGTCCACTGTTGCTGCAAGAGGCCCTTTAGTTTGGTCAAACTCCTAGGATGTCCAACATGCCGTCCCAGTGATCCCTGCGACAAATCACGGAACCGGGCAGACCAGGAAAGTATGGCAATGTGGCGGAAGCAGTCTTGTGACACCTTTACTGTGTGTGGTCGAGCATTGTCTTGTTGTAAAATGGCTCTTGTGAGCCCTGCCATGAGAGGAAACACGTGTGGCTGCAGGATGTAACTAACATACCGCGGGACTGTCATAGTCCCTTGGATCACTACTAGATGTGACCGGCTGTCGTATGTGATGGTACTCCAGACCGTCACACCAACTGTGGAGGCGGTTGCCATTACAAAGCGAAATGTAACAAGTGGCAGCATTAAAATAAGCATCCATAGCGCGTGGTATTTTCACATTGCCAGATCGCGTTTTGGTTGATTATTAAAAGAATCTCGACACTAATTTCTCTTTGTGGTCTTATTGAATATGCCAAAACGCGTTGTGGTCGATTTTTTCGAATTTTATTGCACTTATGTATTGTGATTTCTATTCACATATCATTAATTTTATCGTTTAATCGAATAATCACTAATCTAGATAAATGTCTTAAACTTTTAGACGAAGAAAAGATGGGGTATAGATATACAGGTTACGCAAGCGCAAGGTATAGGAATTTGTAGTTTAAATTAAGTTTAAATCATTTTATGGGCGTCACGATCTCATTACATGCTCCACTACAATTCCTGTTATAGCAATTCCTTCTCCTTGCTTTTGCATATAACCTCTATACCTACATCCTACAAAACAAATAAAACATACCCACATCTTTCCACTGTCTAATATTTAATGCATCTAACTTATTAAGGCATTAGCTCTGGGGCTTAGGAATCGAATCAGGGCGAGTAACTCCAGCAATTTTTCATGGAGATTCGTTTCGTATATGTACAGCACCTGTCCCACACCATTTTGTGGTTCCATTATGGATTTGGCCAGACCCACAATGGGTTTGGGAAAAACAGAGCTTTCTTAGTGCCTACAGGGAGGAAAGAGACAAAAAATGAATACAGAAATGCAAACTAACGAGATGAAAAGATTAAAGTTAAACCCTTTTAAATCTTCCTTAGAATAGTTCTCCCTTACGCACTTAATTAAACTCGTAATTCACGATGTATTTAAACTTTTATATTAAAAAGTTTAAATGCATTTAGAGGATATTAGAATAGAAGATATATTTAAAGTTTTATATATAAATAAATAAAAAATACGACGTCTTAGGGGTTAATCACTTATCGAAAGTCACTGGATATTGTATTTCTATGAACGCCCACGGGTCAGACGTCGTTTCGTGTTGCTTCAAAATGCTTTTTACACAATGCTTTTTCAAAATATATTTGTCTATTCACTTCATTTCTTTCGTCTTTCATTCGAGTAAGTAACAAATTTCTTTATAATTTTTTACCATTAGATTATTTACCATATTCGATAGACCACCTCATATTGTTATTTCAGTCATTTTATAATTAATAATATAATTCGCAACGTTAGAAATGAATGAAAGTATCCTTTAATCCGAGAAGAGATCAATTTAAAAAATTAATTTATAAATAATTTATTTAAAATCTCCATTTTTATTTAAAAGGAACGTCGGCAGATATACAGAATAACACAGAATGGATGAGCATCAAGAGATTACGATCGAAATTATTAAATAATTACAATAAACAACTCGATCCCGTTCAACGCCAGGGAAATAATACGGTTGTTAATCTCACTTTATCAATTATATACAGCATGGACCTGGTAAGCACTTCATATTTTATTGTTATACGCTGAAGGAAATAAAATAACCAATTATTAATTTATTGTTAGTCCAATTATTTATGAATTTTGAATGCCTCTTAACTTACCAGGCATCATTTATTATCTGATAAATTGATAGTGTTCTGTAGTGTTATAAAATATGAAAATTTACCATTACATAAACATCTTATTTCTATACTTTTTCTTTATAGAAAAAAAAAACATGTAAGCATAATATAGATATAGGAAATGATATTTTTTCTTCTCTTTTATCGCATATTAAACGATAGGATATCGAAATATATACCATGCAGCAGTAAATATATATAAAGCCATAAAAAACCTTATATATATTGTATGTACTGTACAGTATGTATGGATTTAAGCTTATAGTATAGAAGGCAAAATGGCCTTCTATACTATCTTTATTGGCCTATAATATTTCCACAATACACCTTCATTTTTATATTATTTAATTGTAATATTTATGTTTAAGAATGTCATATTTTTAATTCTGATTATATTTACAGATAGAAAAGAATGAAACTCTAATACTAGAAGGATCCATTCGTCGGGTATTTGACAATTTAAATTTTTATTTATTTATTTATTTGGATATAAAATGAGTTATTTATTTAGAGGAGTGAATTATAGATTTGGCAAGACGATCGAATGGTTTGGAATCCTAATGAATTTGGAGGATTAGATTCTCTTCCTGTATATGAAGAGGATATTTGGTTACCTAAAATTACCATTCTTGAGAGGTAAATTGAATAATTAAGTATCTAATATTATAGTTTTTGAGAAATAAACTCTTAATGGCATAGATATTGCTCGTTAAAACAAGTTAAAAACGTTGCTTCTAAAGAAAAGTCACTGTCTAGTAATATATCTGGCTCTGGCTAATATATCAAAGTTTATTGCATGATAATTAGCATAATCTAAAAATTTTAGTCCCTTAAACAGAATATGGTGTAGAGTCCTTCAGTGTTTAGGGCCTAGCTTTCTATATTCATGATGGTATAGGAATTTAGACATAATTTCTTTTCTTATAAGCAAATTTAATATCAAACAAGAAAGAAAAAACTCCAAGGGTAGTCTACAAAAAGATTTATAAACATTGTAAATGCTATTCTATAATATTTTTCAGTAAGATTTTTAAATATATTTTCAGTGCTCCCGATCATAGTCACATCCAACTAAAAACAAGACCCGTCATTAAAGCATTAGGTACGATTCATTGGTCGGTAAGAGGCACATTCAAATCACTCTGTCCATTGACCTTTGACATTTATTTGCAAACCGTTCAGACGTGTAATATAAGTTTTTTGGCTCGGACTCCCGAAGATCTCGACATAGATCTCCGAATAGGAAGTCCCAAAATCCACGGAGATGGTCCCAAATCCATCAGCACCAAATGGAAGTTTGTAGGTTACGAAGTGAAAAGGATAGTCAGATACGAAGAGAACGTATCCAGGAATCGGATATACGTTGTCTATTCTTTTAAAATTCAATCGATGCCACCCAAAGAGGAAAAAATCGTTAAATCGCCAATTATCGTTTCCACCATTTTAATGCTATTGATGTTTTTGTTACCTTCTTCCAACGATAAGAAGTTAACTTTAGGAGCAACGTCCATTTTTATTCTCTTGAGTCTTTTCTTCTACGTTGTGAATGTCGTCGAGTCTCCGATATCCAAAAATATTGCGAGTAAGTTAGAATTTTAAATTAATTAAATAAATTTAATATGAATAACTTTATTAAATGACTCACGTTCTTTGTAGTATATCCAATTCGTTCCATGGTTTACATCGTGGTGTCGGCTATTCTCTTCGAAATTTTAGTCCTTCTGGTGACAAGACTAAGAACGGAACCGCCTAAATTAACGGATATTCTTTATGGAAATGTGGGAAGAGTTATGTGTTTGTTCTGTCGACAAGATACGAGGGACGAACCGAAGACGAAGAGAAGTCCCGAAGAAGTGTGGAAGATGGTGGCAAAAGCTATGGACAGATTTCTATTTATATCATTTGTAATCGTCATCGTCGTCGTTCGATTGTGTTAATTATATTTTATGTAAAATTATATTAAAATTTATTCGAATGTAAAAAAAAGTTTTAAAAATTATCCTCTTTTTTTTTTTTAGTAAAATTTAAATTACAGTCGACCCCCTATAACACTGTTGATTATTCCATTTTATATGAATTCCATGTTGTACGAGTCACTTAGATTTTACAAATACGTGAGCCGTTCACAGCCTGGCACATATATTTGTGAAATCTAAGTGACTCGTACAACATGGAATTCATATAAAATGGAATAATCAACAGTGTTATAGGGGGTCGACTGGTAACAATTTATATGTGACTTAATTTTTATATAAGTAAATTACTCTCGGAAATTTTTTTCCATTTTATGAATGTAATTCTCTCAAGACAAAGTATAGTTCGAAAGTAAATTATATATTTTATAATTACTGTAAGCACTTTTAAAAACAAATCAATTTTATTAAAAAATATGGAACAGATACATTCCCTTCATTTTTATTTATTTATATACTCAAACAAGCATTGCACAAACACAATGAAACCGATAAATACTACATTTTTCTGTCTTAAAATTCTCTTTAATTGAGTCTTTATTAAGTTATAAAAAAGGAAATTTGTAGTAACGAATTTAAAAAAAAAAATCAGACCCATTTCCTGATCGAAACAAAGACGATGGAGAAGAGAAGAAAGAATATTCTATCCAAGAATAACGCCAGCGTGTACCAGTCTTTATGAATCGATGTTTTATTTTCATCCGGAGGACAAAGACAGAAGATTTTCTTGACAGACCGTGAAAAGACATCCATTAATGCGTCGGGAGGTTCGAAAACGGTCAAGCGTGACAAATTAAGAACGACAACTTCCATCACAATGGCGGCCAATACCGCGAATATCGACTGTTCGATTAAATACGCTAAAAGAACGGAAATATATAATTATTATAAATATAACAGACTAAACGTGGAGAATAAGAAAATGGCGACAAACCTGTGTAGATGGCTATTCCGCGCGAAGGAGAAGACAAAGTGAAGAATAATAATTCTCCAAACAGAATGAGCAAAGAAGTGCAACCCAGAAGTAACTTCTTTCCTTTTTCGGGAGGCATCCAAAACATTGTTAACGTCAGCAGGACGACTACCGAAGAAAAGGCCCATTCTACGTCACTTCCGTAAGCGGCCTTTCGACTCAAAACGAAATTGCATGAAATCATTACGAAGAATTCCGGACAGCAATCGTCTTTCAGAACAATCCTTTGACATTTACTGTTCGTTAGCTTCCAATTGGGATTGTCGTTGTCCAAATAGGAAGTGTCCGCGGATTCCAGCAACATGTACAGGTCGATCTCTTCTCCTAAACTGGTCCACGAACTCATATTCACGGTGCACGTTTGATAATCTTTCGGATAATCGGAGTAATCTATCGAACAACGACTTCTGATGGTGGCCGGAGGGTTCCATCGCACTTTTCCGTCTTTCTGTACATTGATTAAAACGTTTCCGTAAGGATCTACGTTACTGACTGGTGAACTGAGTAAAAAAAAAAAACGGTTAATTTATCTGAAAAGCAAAAAAACACAAGCAAAAACACTAATTTCAGTATTATACTAATGTATTTTACACCTTATCGGATTGCATTAGAAGCCACAAAAGATCGCGCGAGGCATCGAAGGTTTTGAGTTTCTCACAAAAAAAAGGGTTTATTTTTAAATCTCGTCATTACCTCGATATTACTTTTATGTCCGGTTTCCAAATTTCTTGTTCTTCAAAGTCTATCGATATGTCTCCGTAAATTTTCTCGTCCCAATGGAACCGTTTATCATCCCATTCCTATGCAGAAAAAAGAAATTTTAGCGTAAACATTTACTTATTTATTCACTTTTCTCATTATTATTTTCTTAATTTTAATCTCTTATAACAAGGGTGCTTCGAGAGGGGTGCTTTTGTATCTCCTATCTAAAACAAAACACGTGGAAAAAAGAATAGAATATAATGGAAATTTTACTTTATTCATAAATGCAAAAAAAAAATCTTTATTGTCTTGCAAAGTTTCGTTACTTTTGCTTAACTAATGCGACAGTAATTAATCCATTGTGCATGAATGCACCCTTGAAATAAATGCCGTATTGTTGAATAGCGTTTATATATTTGACTTACCAGATTCAACCAAACGTCCATAACAAATATCTGTTTGTCTTCGTCCTAAAACCATTTAAATCTTGTAATCCAATTGTTGAAAAAATATTCATGAATATAAGTAAAGAATAATTACCACTTCTTGAATGTACACGGGATATATAATTAAATTAACCACAGTCGAATTGGTATTCATCACCACCGGACGAACTTGCTTTTCGTAATCTTTCAGTAACGACTTTCGAAGTTGGACCAATTTTTGAACATCCGCCTCGTCCGATCGCGCTAATTTTGAAACCAAACACATAAATACATGGCCAGAATACGTTCCTTCCAAAATATAAAGTTTATATTCTTACCTGTAAAATATAAACCCGAAAATATCGTAAGAATAAAGTGAATCTTGAATAATGTAGAATCCATTGTACAATAAGGATTTCGATACAATGATAAACGAATGCAAAGTGGGTGGATAAAATTACACAAAACACCCCTCGGTTATATCGTGTTACTTCGAGGTTGTTCTGTATCAGTAACCGAGAGGAAAACCAAAAGATTTATAAATATAAACCGAAAATATGGTCCTTCTATCGATTAATTAAGTTCACTTCGAAACTTAAAATGTGGCGAAGAACATTAAATTAATGATATTTTGTAAAGGACACCATCTACACGCGGAAAGAAATTGAATTACCTATGGTCAAAAGTAAACATGTTTTTTTAAAATAAATAACGAATAAAATTATTAATAAAACTTCCATCGAGAGTATTAACACAGTATTAGGTGCACCCGGCAGTCCTTATTGTGGACATGGAAAAAGACCTTCTTAATGCCCACAGGGCGGAGAGGGATACACGAAAAATCATATTTAAAGATCTCTTACATGTAGGCATTTAGCGAGGAGGGAAACTGTTGTACCTTAAACATAGTATACCTTGAAATACAATGTTTAAGGAAACCGTTTAAAGAAAAACATCTTGTAATATTGTCACGAGTGGTGCGAAATAAAATTTTTAGGCGAATACCCAGTGTTTTGTAGACTCTATTGTAGCCAGAAGGTTATCTTCTGTTAGTGAAATTCTGATGTCAATATTTCAGTTTCCTGAAAACAGATATGGTCAGAAGGAAAATTAGGCATTAGTTCACGGATTAGATGGATTTAAGTAGAATGTAATGGTAAAGTTTCTAATGTTAATTAGAGGCAATGAATTTACTTTCTTGGTAAATGCACCCTCTCGTACTTTGAGACGCCCAAGCACTTTATAGTGTACTTTATCGACACTGTCTGAAACAAAGTTCGTTCTTGAATAATAGAATCTCTTGAAACTTCTGAAGTATTCTTGAGGCTGAAATAATGCACCTATTCTCCCTAGAGCAGGTGTGGCGAATGACACTCAACCTATCGGTTTATTGCCTTTTTTTCCAATCATCTTTTCGGATCATCCATTTACTTTCCGGGCTCTGTTATGTTAAATATCGTTATTCGAATTTTTAAACAAATATTTTCATTATACTATATTATATTAGCATGCAAACTCAAAAATGTTCTCCATCCCTGCAGATGTCCAGTATGTAAACGAGTATTATTATCCACGAAAATGAAACTTACACCCACAGTATCTCGGAAAAGTCTCACAAAACTTCGTCTATTTACTCTCTTGCAAAAAAACTTGGAGCTTCAGTGCAGCCATTTAAACATAATTCCACCTGGATCACAATATTGCAATGTTCATGGAACATCTGTATTGAGTTCCCTGATTCTGATCTAGCAAGAATGATTCTGTAGAATGTACCTGAACTCTATGAATTGGACGGTTATGCTTACTTTTTGGACACGAGTATAGCAGAGGAGATAAAAATATGATTTTAAATTAAACTTAATATAAATCTTAATTGGAAATTAATATTTTTAATTTTTGCTTTATTTGTATTATGTTGTAATTATAAAATATTGTGTTAATCGAACAAGACTCCATTCGCTTTTATAGGAAAAATTTATTACGACGACAATTGTTTTTAAAATATTTTGTTAAAAACAGTCATACACAAAAGTTCATAGAAATATGTACTGTACAAGATATGTCACAAAAACTTTGTACAAGAGATACATTCTTCTATTATTATTAATAAAACAATTCTTTTTTTTATAAATAAAGACGAACAAAACGTTTATATGAGATATTCTACAAATGATTTTAAATGTAGTATTAATTTATTGACATTTATTATATTAAAATAACTCCGCTAACATCACACACACTCCATTTATTTACATAATTATGATTAGTGTTTCTTTTTTTTTGCGCCAATAATTAAAGTCTTTTGATAAAAATGACACGATTATAAAAGTCATTTAATGGTTAACTATACAATATAATTTAAATAATAAATAAAAGTGATTAGAATCAATCACTGTCGTAATCTTTTTCGATTTCTTCCGTTGTAAACAATTTCATTAATTCTTGGAATCTGTTAGCAACCTAAAAGGAAATAAAAATTACAATTAAATTTATTTTTGCTTACTTTAGTAATTAAATTATGTATTAAATAAGCATAAAATATATTAATAAAAAATTTATAAAATTAAATAAATTTTTATTTTTTTAATCAATTATGCATTTAAGCTTAAAAATTTACTTAAAAGTTTTAAAAACAGATTATACAGTTTGTAAATATATAAAATAAAATGCCTTTATATAGTTTACCTGAAGTTGATCTTTATCTTTTAATTGTTCAGAAACTAATTTAAAAGTATCTTCACTAGCACCCAGTTTTTGGCATGTCTCTAATAAAATCTTATCTTCCTCCCTATAAAAGCCAATAAATCACTTGTCTTTTTTAAAAAAAATTATTTATATAGTTAAATAATTCAATTAACTAGAAAAGTTTTAAAATACAAATCAGTTTTTTTAGTTATTTTTTTCCTGTTTTAATTGAAGTGGATACTGGTTATTAGTAATTGATTTAAAGAAGTGACACCTTTGTGTGCCTTATAGTAAATTATAGATAATACTAAGCCACAATAGGAATTGGTTGCATGAACAAACAATAGGAATGATGCTCTAAGCCATACAAATATGAAAAAATCATGGAAATTTACATTTATTTTGAAGTTGGATCTATTGCAATATTAGGCCAACATCTTATCTACCTTTCCCTGGTTTAACATATATGAAATGACACCTCAATAAATTCTGTTTCCAGATAATTGGTTCAGTTTGTTAAAGAATAATCAAATTTCCAATGGTGTGTGTAAAAAACTTACTCTGTAAATTTGAAATCAGATATAAAGGAAAAATAACAACAGGAATCATTAGATATCAAAACGGCAGTGTAACAATGTACCAGATTTTGACAAATAATAAAAATATTAGTTCAAAAATTGGCTGGAAACAATTCGGCAGCTTAGCAAATAGGGATCCGCATCCTATCCGACTTGAAAATATTAAAAATCTTGAAAATCAAATCAAAAATATAAATGCAATGCATGAACAGGGTTTATGGATTCTTATTTGTTGTATGCATGGCTTTTCTTGTTTATTCTACTTTCATTTGGTGCAAAATGGCTTTTACAGTTTTTTTGTATCACAAAAGTAAACCAACAAAGTAACCATTGCCAAAATATTCAATTGTAGTAAAGAAGAGATATTTGAAACTTCCTACCCAGAAATAATAGTATATTTCTCAAAAGCCCACTTGTGATGTTCGTTGCTATTTACAAAAAAAATAGCAATAAAGAGATTTTTGAAATACCAATGTACTCAAAAATTACATTACAATAATTTAAAAAAGCACTAAATAAGAAAGAAAAAGATTTTCTGTTTGATTACACTGTCAGATATGACTCAACTAATAGCAAGATGGAAAATGTAATTGAAAAATAATAGCTATTTTCTACATTTAATTTTAAAATGATTTTTATAAGCTTTCTTTAATAACTGCCTGGGATTGCGACTTTTTTTAAAGTTAAGATTTAAAGTCTTTTGAATAAATTGGTTGTTTCAAATAAAATACTAATTTGTAAAAATAAAAAAATTATGTACAAAATTATAAATAAAAATTCAAGAAAAGATTTTGAACAGTTTAAAGTTTGTAAATTGATTTAAAATAATTTTAATATATTAATATAAGTTCTGAAGATGGAAACTATTTTCTGAATAATATTCGTCTTTCATTTTATTATATTATTGTCAACTAAGGACTTATCATATTAATAAAACAACAGGTGAAACAACAGATAAAAAATAAAAAAATTTTTTTTCTGAATAAGAATTCCTCCTTTGCAAAAATCGACACAACAGTATAATAGTCCTATTAATATGATAAGTCCTTAGCTGACAATAATATAATAAAATGGTATAATATAAGGACATAAAGATAATTGAATTAATATTCATCTTTGTTTCTGAATATAAAATAATTTTTACACAGCAAAGCATAAATCTACACGACTCACAATTTTCATATATTTGAAGAATTTATGTATTCTGCATTAAAATTCAATGTTGATAAACAAGTGTGCATGATTACTGAACATTATAAAGTGTAAAAGACAACATAACAAGTCATGAAATCCAAAATCTTATTAATGCAAAAATATATATGTAACCTCAAAATAAAAATTGTTTTATTTGTAAATCAAAATGTTGATTAAATTTAATAACTACAGGAAGGTTCATTTTGGTTAATTACTTGACAATTTGATTGGGTATGCTTTCCGTAAGGTTATGCAAACTGGAATTATCTATAGTACTTTGTATCAAACCAGCATTATTGCATTGTGAAAGTTTTCTATTATTATATTGCCCATTATTTTTGTAGACTTCCTCGACAGAATTACAGAATTCCTCAGAGGTTTCTGATGGGAGTACAATTTGGAAAACAAGCTGGTCACTTTATAACATCAATAGTTTGTCAATTTAACCTAGCACGTATGTTGAGCCAATGTGCATTGACATGTTGTCATGCTGAAAAGTAAACTTTGTTGATCTGAAGTTTTATAAATATGGGACAAGTGATCTTATAGTACTTGTTGATACTCATTACTATCTATTTGGATTATGTAAAGGCTAACTTCAGCTTGTCTCAAATGCAGAAAATTCTCCAACCATCGGGCTTTCTTTGGAAAAATTTTGTTTAGCAAAAACCCATGGGTCATTATATAAATCCTGCAAAAAATTAGCAAACCTGTCATGACCATCTAATTAAATTTTTTCTTGTCACTGAATATCATCTGAAACAAAAGTCTATCATCATCATGCTCTCTTAATGTTACAACATTAACATAAGAAAAAAGGGAATCAAATGATTTATTCTTTCAATTCTTATTCAAGTTCTCTTGACAGAAATTCAATCTATCTGCCTTATGTTTAGATATCAGACATGATACACTTTCCCTTTATCATATGCTATATTTTTTTTTGTTTAATGATTCTAACCATTGTATCTTTAGTCAAGGTCAATTGAAGTTTTCATTTCACTTCATTTCATTTACAGTTTTCATTGTACAGTATTTGATACTTCTCTGATGATCTGGCATTCATGTCTCTTTGAAAGCTTATGGGAACATCCTATACATTTATTAAGATCTTAGCTATGTTGTTTTCTCACATTTTAAATTGCTCCAACAGACTGGTTTAATTCTTTTGATATATATTTATGTTTTCCAGCTTATCATGCTATAATTTGAATTTTTTTGAAATTTGAAAGTTATGTTCCACAAAGCATATTTGAAAAATGAACATATCACATTAACAAAGCAACAAAACTATCATTTCTATACTCAAATTCTTACAGTGTATATTTTTGTATCACTAATATTCATCTCTAACAATTTTTTATTTCAATTGTTTTCTTATTTTCCTTTTCCAAAAATGAAATAAAGAATTAAGGGATTTATTATCTATCACATGGAATAAAAGAATTTAATATAATTTACAGTTTTCTTTCACACAGATGCTATAAAATGATTTTATGTCATTAAAAATATTTAATGAAATTTTGATGATATTAGTATCTTAATAATAACCTTTTTAGAGTCATTAAAAGAAATAAAATATCTTTAAAAATTTATAAATATTAAAATGTAATAATTACAAACCTTGACCATTTAACAGAGGAAGTTGCACATTTATTCTGCATTTCCATTTCCATTGTAGAAACACTTGTGTTGATATTAATTATTGAATTCTGCTGGTTGATTAATGAAGTTGACTTCATTGCACATGTCACTTCAGTCACGTTCCTCTCCACAGAAGAGAGAATTTGAGAATCAGTTTGATTGATTTTATCTAGCTGTTTTTTATCATTTTCCATATTATCAGGATTATTACATATCACAGCAGACCTTTTACATAATTGTTTACTTTGTTCTTTAATGTTTTTACTGTCAACGTTTAGCTTAATTACATCTCTTAGTGAACTAAAATCAGCTGGCAGTGCACAATATTGCTGACTTGTTTCCGGTGGTAAAATTGCATCTTCTATGACTACGTGGGATGGAACTAATAGAGTTGATGATGCCGTCGATGTATTTGGTGAAAAATCTTCCAAAACACTTAGAAATGGATGTGATGTTTGCACTTTTTCTTCTGATAATTCATTTGAAGGAAGACATTTTACCACAATGTTTCTCTGTTCTTTGCTAACATGAGAATTTAATTTTCCAGACAAATCACATGACTGAAAATGTATTTCTTGTTCTGATGAAAATGTAATGTTTATCTATAAAAAAGAAAAATAACATGTATTTCATATTTATAAAATAAACCTATCTTAACAGATTAATCTCTAATTATCAACTTTATTTTATTGGAGACCTTGAATAGTTACATTAAATCCCTAGTAATCATAAGCCTTTCAGCTCACCATTAGAATAAATTGTATATCCACAGAAAGAAAATTTATAAATATTAATTAAAACAATAAAATAGCTTTTAAACTCACAATACATTCTAAAATTTTTATAATGAGAACACTAACTCCATGAGCAGATGGATTTCACCTGTTATACACACCTCACACAAATTCAATCATAACAGACAATTATTACAATGAAATTGCTATTAGAAAGATCTTAGAAAGGCTTGAAATAAGAAAACAATTATATTAAATATACCATATTTTATGGCATATAATATGCACAAAATATTTAGAAAAAGTATGTAATGTATTTAAGCTATCCTGTGCTTTTGACATGTACTGTACATTAATGGGTTAATGTTACCTTAGGTTCCATGATGGCGGCTCTTCCGGTAACCTCGATGGCATGCACATTTAGAAATGAAATGTAGATGGTACTTATCATACTGATGGTTTCGTATGCAAATTTTCTTCAAAAATTTCCACTCGGAAAATATGAGGAATTATGCAAATTTTGACTTCAGTTACAGTGTAGACGGACGGTGCATGTCGTTATCTTTTCGAATGGCATTTATTTTTTAAAGTTTGTACAATTTTCTGTTTTTTTTTTTTTTTTTTTTTAAAGTTAACGAGTAGGAAAATTTGGCCAATTGTTTTTACTGTTTATCTATCGGTTAAAATTTGCCTTTCACAATGCATTCTACACCGTTTTAGTTTTCCCCTAAGTGACGTTTGATTGTTCGTGCTCCCAATGGACCACCCAGAGGTTAGTGATTCATCCTTTACTGTTCATAACCTAGATGATGTTATATTTGTATGCCGAGGCCATGCGATAGTGCGGCCGAAGCAGTAACGACGAGGTGGGCGAGCACCTCAGGTGCTGCCCACTGAGGCTGCAGTCAGTTCTGCATAGGTTTATACTTGCACTCCAGGCAAATCCTGTTCAAACCACTGATGTATCCAATCTCGTAATTCACTACGTCCAGTTATGGATGGTTTTCAGGTAGCATGGTGACTTTTTTATTTTTTGTCTTTGGTCCAAAAATAGGAAATGAAACCAAATGCAAGGGAAAAAGTAAGTATCAAAAAATTTGTTTATTGTTCTATTTGGTTATCATCATCGACGCTCGCCATCTTGTTTGCACATGCACATATGCAAACAAGATGGCGACCGGAAGCCCCGACCGAATTGGCAACCGCCATCATCTTGGAACCTAAGGTAACATTAACCCATTAATGATAGTCTTGGGAAGAATCTTAATGACAAAAGGCCCTTATTTATCAAAGAATATGTCCACACCATTTTGCTGGACATCAACTGAACTTCAAAGGAAAACATTTTATATTGGAGAAAGTTGTGTAGAATGCTGTCAAACATTTTTTATTCCATAATCAGTCTTCTTCTATGAGGCTAGAATTTCCAATCTGCTTAAATGAGTGAATAAATATTTTAATAGTTCTGATATGTTAATAGTTAACTCACAAATATGCAATATGTCTGACCACATAACATTTTCATTTGACTTTAATATCCTATTCAATTATTTAAAAGATGATCAAATATTGTAAAATCTATAGTAATCTTTTAATGATTATCTGACTTAAGTGGGTACATGTCCTAAAAGAGAAAGCCTCTGGTAGAATTTTATAGTATCCACTAAATCCATATTATACTGTATAAAATAATTCAGTAGGAATGTGTCTTTTTACTACTATAAATATTAATAAAATATAATTACTTCATGCTCTTCTTGTGGATCATCATCAGTTTGATTTCCAATAGCAACTGGACTGGGACTAAGACTTGATAATGGAGAATCACTTCCTTGTTGGCCTGGACTGGCATAATCATCTAGTTTATTATCTCCATTGATCTCAGATAACCCTGGTGTATAATAAATTACCTGGGCCGGTTTTAATACTTTTCCTGTCTGAATATAAATACGTCCACCTAAAAACTATATAAAATTTATTTGTATTATAAATTATACACAATTGTAAAATTTTAATAATAATAATTACTTTGATTCCACATTGAATACAATGCCTAATTCTATTCTGCATTCTAAGATCAGTGGTGTGAGAATGACAAACACATGGACACTGTTTTCCTCCATATTTGTTGTCATATTCAGGTATTGTTATTTCTTCTACACTATCATTACTATAATCTTCTTCACTGTCAGGAATGACAATTTCTTCAAAATCTGTCATAAGGCTATTAAATAAAAATAAAAATCGTATAATTATTTAAATGCATTTATATGTATACATGCTAATTTATCCAATAAATAATAAGTTTAAGTATTTATCAGAAATCTATAATCACCATTTTCTTTATTTTTAAAAAATACGTCAAAATACCATATTTACTTGAATGTAAGATGCAATTCTTTCAGGTTTTAGTACTGTATCTCTGAAAATACAGTGCATCTTAGAATTGATGTAATATGTCATAATTAGCAACCTCTAGTGTCATGCATCTTATGCTTCTGTCCCTAATTCCATTATGTCATTTCAATACTTTTATCAGTAATAGAAGAAATTTAAGAACTAACTTAGCTCAATTTCATTAGTCTATTATAATAATTTTGTAAGTATTTGGAATGAAAATCCCAGAAAAAGTTATGCAACACTTTTTCAAGAAATGTTGCAGCTCCAATGCCTTAAACAGCACTCAGTATGACTGTATATGGGAAGACATAAACATCAAATCCAGTGTTGATTAGCACTACTAAAACTAAAATTAATACTCAGGAAATGACAACTAACATTAATGTTGAATAACATCATCACTATTGGTAAATGATGAGGTTCTAATTTCAATACCATAGAATACAGCAATAAATGATTTATTCTGTTATACTGATTCTGTTGACAAATTTGTCTCAAGTTTTCTATTACAAAAATACATAAGTGAGTGTGTAGAAATTAAGGTGCGTCTTAGATTTAAATAAATATGTTAATATGTTTTGATCTAATTGAGTAGATAACACAAGGCACTACCAAACTATAGATTATTTAGTCGGCTTCAATTACACTCATCGCAGATCAATCTGACCAGCAATAAAATCACACTTTTTTTCACTTGAAAATTCAATATATAATGCCAGATCCCTAGTAATTAAATATCTCACAAACATTAATAATAAAAACAAAATATAAGTTAATTAATAAAATTTTGTAAACAAACAAGAGAAGTAAACACAACATAAGAGGAAAAAATACTTAAATTAGCAAATACTTATTTATTTAATGTTAAAAAAAAAAATTAGTTAAGACAATGTATAATAATAAAACAAGAAAATAGGAAAGTACAGTAAAATGAGATTTTCTAACACTTTCTCCTTCAATTCCCCAATTCAAGCAGTGTGTGTTGGATAAAAGAAAAAAATTTAGGTGTTTTAAAAAAAAATTGCAAAGTAAATAGTTTTTGCAGTTTTAATTAGAGATGTTTGTGTAGAATGGAATCTCTTTCTTCAAATTTTTAAAAATGTTTGGATCTTGCATGTATTGAAATAGTTTTCTAGTATTTGAATGCTATAGATTGTTGATTATGATGTACAGTACATTGATATTATATAATTATCAACATCTTGGAATTACACAAGTGAAGAGGAACACAGTGTTTTTGAAATTTTGTAATTAAAGTATTGGAAAGAAAAACAAATGCTAGTAAATAAATGTGTTTTGGCAAGACTTACATTACGTCTTTATGACTGAATATTTGAAAATTCAAATATTCATTTAATAAAACATTTAAATTAATGAAAAATTAATAAAATGTCTACAACAGTCATAAGCAACCTATGAGCCCAAACCACACATAGCCCAAAAAGTCCTTTTATATGACCGCAGGCTTTGCAAACAATTTATTCCATTTTCTGCCTCATGACATTATGCAACTCCAATTAAGCTGATATTCATGACAAAGAACATTCAAACTAAACTTGACCAGTGAGAAATTGAAAATAAACACTATATTACTAGTTTGCATATCATTAGCATTTATTATTTTAGTACCTAATGTACTGGTGGTTATGGAGTATATTGTTACTCGGTAGGCTTACAACAAGCAACTCATAAGAAAAAATATATGCATTCTGCTGGAAGCCAATGAAATTCCCTTGTGACCTACATCCAAAAAGGTTGCTAATCACTTGATCTACAATATCTTCATTACCTTTCAGGTGGTGGTTCATCAGGCAACAGTTGCAGAAATTCTTCTAATAAATGATTTTGTCCTCTAAATAAGGGTTGTAGAGCAGTTCTGATATTTGATGAATGTAGATTTCTTTGCCACTGTAAATGACTAAGAGTTTTCAATATCCTCTGAATATATTGTGGTTGTGGACCAAAATGTACCTAAGTTAAAGTGAAAGTCCAATTTTATTGATTAAATTTAAACTTTTTTAAAAAATGATATTATTTTTATAATATAATAATATTTTTATCTTTAATAAAATCAATAAATATTCAAATTAAAAATAAATAAATAACATTATTTCTTTGAATGTAGAAATAAGTATTGCTTTAAAGTTTGCTTCTTTATTATTATTTAATAAATAAATATTACACAGGAAAATTGGTTACATAAGAATAACTTAAATATTAAAAGATAATTAATTATGCAGTTTGCAAACTAGCCATAGTTAATATCTCTAAATAAATAAATTTTAAAACAAAAAACTGTATTATAACAAAGGCCTTACAAAACATTTTCAACTTTTTTTCATATAATAATTGGTATATTTTATTTTTTTAATGTATTCAATAAATATTACTATAACGTATCGTCAAAATCATGATATTTTTATAATTCCTATATTCTAAAAAATATTGGAAATAATTTATATCTTAAGGCAATAACTAAAACTAAATATGTTGTTTGTGTATGAGTCACTTGTTAAAACATATGAAAAATAAATAAAACATACCTCTAATTTTCTGAGGAACATCCTTATTTTGTTTAGTGTGAAATATTCAGCCATTTTTCCACAGTCTCTAGCTTGTTCAGGAAGTAAAAATCCCACAAAATCTTCAACCAAACTAGGATACCCATTTAAAAGCATATTGATAGTTTCAAATAACTGAAAAATTTAGAATAAATTATTTTCATTAGGTTCATATCTATTTATTGTTTAATAAAAATTGTAAATAGTTTTATATAAGTAAAAAATTAATAGATTTCTTTCTTTAAATGTGTAATAGTCATCATCTGTTTCTTTCATTTTATCAGATATTCCTTAATTTATTTATATATAGAACAGTTAACAAGTTTTATTAAAAATTTTCTTCATATCCTATTTTTTTAATAAAACTTTATGTATCTCTTTATTTAAAATGATATTAATTTTATAATATAATTGTATTGTATAAGATATATTACATACAAATTATAGAAAAAATCTAAAGAGATACTTAAATAACCTTAATCTCTTTTTTCCATTATTAAAGCTTGAATATGAAAACTAGGAATGACTAGCTGACAACATAGTTTTCTACAGAATGTTTTTATTAGATAAAAATGCTTATTTGATTCAATAAGAACTTTATTTTTCATTGTTATTTTAATATTTGACATAGTTAGAGTCACTGCTATTTGGAATTTTGACTAAATTAAAATAATTCGTACAGAAAATTAAATCTATTGAGTATATTTTCATTAATTTAAGAGCTAAATACAAATATAGTTGAAAGCTGGTAATTAATTTAGAATACTCTGAAAGAAAAGATCAATCCAGAGCAGAAACTCAAACTTCAACTTCTGTTTATAAATTTGCATGGTAAGATAACAAATTAATTGCTTACTTTTAGTCCAAATTATTTTATATCTATATATATTTAATTAGCCAACCTATGATCCAATGAATTAGGAATTATCATTTGTTTAATCAAGATCAAATACAGGACACCTATATTATACTCACATTATAAAAATAATCAAATAGATGTGATGTTCTAAATCGGTAGTTTTTAACCTTTTTATACTCACGGCCCACCAAATATTTCATAATTTTTGTGACCCTCATTTTTTAAATAATAATTTATATTGTTAAATTATATATAATAAATTGATTTTTTTATTATTGCTTTATTTTTTTATAATAAATGTGAAACATAACTTTATTATTTCATTATCTATTTAAATAACATTCAAAATTAACAATTAAACATAAAATCTGATTAATTTTTAACTAAAAATAAAATAAGAAACATTTAAAAGTTCATAAAAAAAAACAAAATATATTCGAAAATAATTTAATCAGATTTCTGCTGCTGAATATCCTCAAATAATTTGTTAATTCTTGGTTCGATTATTCGATCCAAAGTCGATGCTAAAACTAAACTAAAACTAAAACACCCACAACTTGTAAAGATTTTACATATCTTTTGCAAAAACATTTAAAATTTCAAAGCCTACTATTTTTCCTAATTATTTTTAAAATTCCAAGAATTAATAGTTTCTTAGAATTACTTTGGAATAAAAGATGTAAATACTGTGGTGTAAGTAGCATATTTGCATTTATTTCTTCTGTACTAACAAAGTTGTATGTAGGAAGAAATAAATAAAAAAAACTAAATACGAAAACTTTATCTTTCTTATTTCACTTTACAATACAATATTCGGTTATACATCAATTTTCTTTTTATTATATTTATGGCAAACTTCTTACAGACCCCCAGGGGGCCGCGTCCCCCCTTTTAAGACACACTGTTCTGAATTTTTTAAATTTTTCTATAACTTATTAATTTTAAACTATAAGTGATAATAAAAAATTTTTAAATTCAGTAAGTTTTGAATGATCTAAATATTTGATCAAAACGAAAGATATAGTTTTATTTGTATTTTCATATATATTCGAGAATTTGTATTTAATTATATAACTTAATTTATAAGATATCAAAAGAATTGTTCATTTTAAACTGTCATTATCAATAAAATCCAGTATCATGTAGAAATCTATTATTATTAGTTTTATTAACTAAATATAATTGTTCTCAGCAAGTTTATAAAAGTGGAATAATCTCCCATTCCCATATTTTCCATCAAATTTTTCATTTTTTCTACTTAATAATAATAATAATAATATGTAAATGGAAGAAATTTTATTGAACAGAGGTTATTAAGGAAGATGTTCATTGAATCTTTTTTCCCAGAAGCAGAAAATTTTATCACAATAAAATCAAAAATTGTTGACTAGATAAAACATTGTTCAAAAAATGAATGTATTGTTAATTAAAATTGAATATATTGTAGTTATCATGTTTTAAATTTAATTTTCTGTTTTTTGTTTAGCAAACAGAAGATATTACAGAATGACCAATACAATACTCAAAAAAATAAAATCATTACTCATATGAATTCACTGAGTATTTGAAAACTTTTATTTTAAATTTATAAAAACTTATTATAACAAGTGTAAAATTTAGTAATTAACTATTTTTCAAAATTATTTAAATAAAATAATTTTAAAAATTCTTCTTTTAAAAATATTTTATTAATAACTTAAGACTGATTTTCTTATCTAATTCAAAATATAAAATTCTTAGAATTACATTTAAATATGATTAATATAAAACTTCTTAATTATTAATCACTATATTTATTTATTTTTTTAATTCAAATAATTCTAAATACCTGAACTGGTGTTTTATTACTGTTTTCAAATTCGCATAAAGTTCTCAAAAAGTTTTCGTATGTTTCCACATCATCTTTCAATAAGTCTTTTGCTTTCATAAGATACGACTGTACAAACATCGTTTCTCTTTCTTCTTTCTATCAATAAATAAATAAATTTTATAAAACTGTCTAAAAAATATATATTATGCTGCAATTTTATTTAATTAAAATTAAATTTACATATTTAGAAATTTTTTCATTTTTAAATCATCACAAGAATTTTCAATTTATATTTGAAATTCTATTTTTATTTTGTTTATTTCATCTAAAACTAGATGTTAATTAATTATTAGATAATTTAAACTAAACACATTAATTAGAGAGAGAGAGAGATTTAAAGTTGATGAACTGAAATTTATTTTATGATTTGTTTTGCAGATTCAGCATAAACTGAGACTGAGTCAGGCACACACCGTAATCTCCACTGCATCAATCACTGTTGATTGATTTATGCCATCACATACAATGATCAACTCAGAATGCTATTGCAAAACTCTGTCATGGCTGCACAAAGCAACAAAGTTGAAACCCACAGGATTCCTCTTTCAAAAAGTCATCCTACTTCATAACAATCAGAAATGGCCAAACCATTATTGTCCTTGAATATACTTAGATATATAAATATCTTTAAAAAATTTTTAACATACATGCTCAGGGATGTGACCAGAAATTTCTGAGTCTGAATCACTTGCATGGCTAATGGCTTGCACAAACTTAGCATAGATAGGTAGCAAAGTTCCCTCTAAGCTGAAAGGCTGCGTGGCTGTGCACTGCTCAAATTATTGCCACGCACAAAAATTTATGTGCCATGCAGGTGAGCATGCACACTGATATGAACTGGTTATTATTAGATAAAAGTGAACACTACAAACACCTAAAATAACAGCCAGAAAATTAAACATAAAGTGTGAATGTTTTAACCCATGTTAAATGGACATTGTCAAGCAAGCAAACTGCTGCAAAAAACACGGGGGTTGCCAAACACATGTGAAGGGGTGTGGGTAAGTGACGTAAGGAGGGGAGAGGGGTTTACAGTTCATAGAACGACGTAACATGTCCATTTAATTAACACGGGCGAAAACATTTGCACTTTGTGTTTAATTTTCTCACTGGTGGTCTTAGGTGTTTGTAGTGTTCAATTTTATGATTATTATTCATATGTATATTTCAACTAAATACATTAAATCATTGACAAAAGGTAATATTTTGTAAGGAAGTATGTTTTAAATGTTGTAAGGAACCAAGTCTGAGCTTTATTTTTATTTTACTTTTATTTTGCTTTCATTATATTTTGTTTGGGGCTTATGTTTAGTTAAGACGAAGGTTTCCTCACCATTCACCTTAGTAACTTAAAAATAGAAGAAAAACCAACTCACCGACGAAAGAAAAGCGCCGTAGAAAAACTCGCGCACACTTGCGCTTCCCAAGCGGAAAAAAGTAAGTCCGCACCGAGAAAAAGGGGGGGAAGACCCCACAACCCAGTTAGGAATCGCTAAACCTTAAAAGAATAAAGCATCCCGATAATTGTTAAAAAGAATAATGTAAAAGGTTAGCGAAGTATTGTCGGAAAATAATCTGCCAGATAAACAAGAAAAATTTAATGTTACAGATAAGTATGTAAATGAGGAGAGTGAGCTCATTCAGAATTGTGACGTCACCTCACACTATAAAGCCTCTAACTCAAGTGAAAACGAACGAGGTGAATTCCTGATAGCAACGAGCTTTGGTGAGCTTCGTAGCAGTGAACGAGAGAGGTGTCCGATAGGATTTTGAAGTTATTCGATTTGTGGATCGACGATTATAGAAAGTCTTGAGAGTTTGAGGAAATAGGTTCCTAGTATATTGAGGTGACGATTAGGATCTTTAATTTATAAGAATTATTGTTTATAAGTTAATTCTTTGATTTTGTCGAATTCCAAAGGGGAATAGAATTAAGTTAGAAATAGATTGATTTGAGTTTGTCGGATTGATTCTTGTTGAATTTCATTGAATAAATTATTGTTTGATTTTTACTAAATACTGTATAGAGTTTATTAATAGAAGTTTAATTAAATATTTGATTTTGTTATTGACAAACTTTGTCATTATTTAATTCGGTGCACGCTTAAAGTCCAGGCCTGGCACACTAACGCGAATCCGCGTAAAGTACCCGTTAGGGAACGGCTATTTCCAGCACACAGTAGTGTCGATAATCGTTGGAAAGTCGGAAAAATAATATAGTACTTTACAATGTGAGTAATGGTTTTGATTTACTAAATACTAATGTGATTAATTTTTTATGATAAGAAATTTCATTTGTCAAACTATCAATTCACTTTTCACATACTGTATGTGTATGTATAACTAAACTACCTTGAATAAGTGAGAAGTAAACCCAAATTCTAAATTGATTATTCTTTGGTGTTTCAAGGAATATATTCAACTAATTATGTAAGTTTATAAATATTATCTATTTTAAGTATTTTATTTATTATTATTATGCAAGTGTATTAAACTTCTACTATAAAAAACCATGAAATAAAAAAAGTGTAATTTTATATTAAATGTACATAATACATAAATTAGAACTGACCTAAAGACTATAATTAATAAAATTTAATATATTTTTAGATTTTTAATATTGGATCAGTGTTTAAAAATGTCAAAAAGAAAAGCAGCAGAGTTAAAGAATAAGGCCCGAAAATTTTTAAACGAATGGTTTTCACATCTCGTAAATACTGATGTATCATTTCAACCAGAAAAACGAAAAACAAAAATTGGATATATTTTTAATTATCATGAAGATGCTGGTGAGGTTGTGTGACCCATTTGTGCTAAAGCAAAAATTGGTGGTGAATTTGCTAATGGAAAAAAATGGGAAGAATGGAGTATCTAAAATGACATTTAAATCAGAAAATTCATTTAGATGCTATTACCACATTAAATAATCAAAACAAATTTGGAACAGAACGTATTTTAAGTGAAACTGCTGAAGATCGAGAAGCAAAAAAGAGTTTAATGAGAGACTAAAGTGTTACCCTGAAATGACAAAAGTGCTAATTGATAATGTGCTATTGGCAATTAAGATTAATGCTTCTGTGAATTCTGTTCAAGAATGAATTTCTTGAACAGAATTCATAGAAGCATGTAGATCATGTAGCAAAGTATGTAAAAATACAGAATCTTGGTGCAGCAAAAATTATGCATTTGAATTCATTGAGTGCATAAGTTTTGTGCTTCAACAAGAGATTATGGACACATTGAGAAAATCTACTTTTCATAACATTAATAGTTGTGAAAGTACAGACATTTATGTTAAAAAAAAAAGTTTATTATTATACTTTAATTAATTAAATTTAGACCAGAAAATGAAACATTTTATAAAACGGTGTTTGGAGATATTCTAAAATTAAGATCATATGACAGTTTGGCTATAACTGAAAGATATAAAAACATTTTATGTTAAGAATAATATTGATATTCAAAAAATGGTGATGTTTACGTCAGATGGGGCAAGTGTTATGCTTGGGGAGAAAATGGTGCAGCAGCATTTCTTCAACAGGACATAAAACATTTAACTGAGCAACATTGTGTGGCACATAGAGATCTGGGAATAGATGCACGTCAAAAAGTCTCAATAATGTGGGACATTGAAAAATTGCTTCAAACCATATATTCAATGTTCAGTCGATCACCCATAAAAAAACAGAAATTAGAAGAACTTATTCATATTTACAAACATGATGTGTCCTTCAGGTCATTAAATGAGATGCATTGGTTATCAAGGCAATATGCTGCGACTGCTTTGATGAGGAATTATGATGTTTTAATTAAATATTGTGAAGAACAAGTAAATAATTTTAATGATATTTGAGATGATCTAGCATATCTTCGTAAACTTTTACAAAAAAGTTGTTTAACTATGGTTGAAGCATTTGTCTATGTTAAGGCAAAAATTAATAAATTAAAATCACAGTATCTTGGTAATACATTTTATTGGAATGAAAAAGGAAAAAAGTTTTTGAAAAAGTTGAATATGATGTGGATACTGCATCTATTATTTAATTTGTTGAACGTGTATGTAATCATTTAAATAACAGATTTCCTAATGACGAGTTAAAACAGTGGCAAGCATTTAATCTTAATGCCATTTTAAATGCAACAAGTTTTGAATTTGGAGATGAGAATGTCAAACAATTGATTAGAAAATATTCAATAATTTTAAATGTCGATATCAATGAAAGTGCTGCCTCAAAAATATTAGAATAATATTGTAATTTTAAATTCATTATATCCGAAAAATTGTTCAATTAAGACATTCACTGATATGGTAAATTATGTACTAATGATGATGAGTTTAAAGAACTAGCAGTTCTTATTGATATCATTGGAACATTTCAAGCATCTAGTGTTGACTGTGAATGTGGATTTAGTGTTATGAATTCAGTTAAGTGTAAAATCAGAAATAGACTTGAATTGGAGTATTTATGTAATTTAATGAGATTTCAAATGCATCTTTCCTCTGGAGAGGAAGTAAATCTTCAATCTCTCTACAAATACTGGATTTCAAAAAAAAATAGATATGAAAATATTCATCAAAATTGAAATATTTCTTTGTGATTAATATGTGACTAAATAATTTACATTAATAAAAGTTTTTTTTATAATGAAATGAATTTTAATCTTTACTTCATAATTAATTATTTTAGTTTTTAAAGGAAAAAAAAAAGATTGTCTATGTATCTGCTCAGCAAACATTTTTTTCTCAGAGAAGTACATGTTCCGCTCAACTACAAAAAAAAATTAGAGGTAATGTTAGTGGGTAAGCTACCGTAAAAACACTAGAGCCCATAATAAGTAGCAACACATCATTGTGCAAGGAAATGCCATACCAATGTGGCAGCTCCTTACATATATAAAAGTCATATGCAAACCAGTAGAATACATGACAATGCTCAATAAAAAAGTAAAGACTGAACAAGAAAAAGTATTGAATTTTATTCTTCTGCCCCTTGTGGCTGTTCACATAGCATAGTATTTGAGTCTGTTGCATCTGTTTTTCTGTTTCATCTAGTGATCAACTGTTTGTTTCATTTATTTTTTTACATTGATTAGTTTTAAATTTAAATGTAAGAGCAGAAGAGGATGGCAGAGAAAGAGAATAGAAGATTATAAGTGTGGGAAACATTGCTCCTTGCAGCTAAAACACTAATGTTAGTCAGCATTCTATATAAAGTATATTAAATATCTTTAAATAAATGAGAACGTTAAAAATTTATTATCTATCATTAATATTCTAGACAGAATGACAATCTGAGATTTATTATTTTACAGTTTGGTCATCAACTGTGATGCTTTTTATTCAAATCAAACATGGTCTAAGATAAAATTACAAAAACTATAAATATAAATAAAAAAACTATAAATAAACTAAACATGTGCACAAGCTATTCCAAACAACTGCGCATTAATTCTGTGAGGCATTTTATGGATGACTGATAACCTTATTAAAGAACAATGTTCTATGACATATAGCTAATATCTGACAGAATGAGGTGAAAAAATGAGCTTACAAAATAAAACTGTTCAATCTAGTTCGAAGCCAAATATTAATTCTATTGAGAACTTCTAAAACAAATTGGAGTTTTTAGAATATAAGAGGAAACATGTCTAAAAATAAAGCCAATCTTACTACTTTGAAAGATGAATCTTGAAAAATTTCAAAGATATAGAAAACGTTTAGTGAAGACTATCATATAAAAATTTTAAAAAGTTATTCTAGACAAAAAAAAGTTTTATCAGGCATGTTAATTTTCCAGTGAATAAAATTTGTTATAGATCAACAGATGTTTTTTGCTATTAATATTAGACTAGTTTATATACAAGTGATCTTAAAGTATGTAGTTTTAATCTTCAATAACTAAACATGTACAAATGTTTAAATTTAGTAGTAAATAGTATTTAAGAGCCTAACTTTTGAAGTTTTCATGTAATAATTTTATCAATATAGAAATAATTTATTTTATTTTATTTATAGATCCCATTAGTGACCTCAAATGGAGACAATTGAAGAGAAAATAAACTGCATGTTTTGATTTGCAGAATTAAAATCAAACAGCTGTTTAAAGAAAGTAAATTGTTCATTATGGTAAATTGTATATATACAATAGTCTACTATTAATAGCCAAAAGACATTAATGTTTTAAAGATTATTCTTATTCTTGACATAATTATCTAGTTGTATACCAGTATATATTTTAATAATTAAAATTTTTTGAATCTCAAAGTTAAAGCAGTAATTAATTGTCTGTTAAAATAATATCACATAATTGACATTGTATTAATTTATTACCTTTATTTTTATATAAAGATAAGCTGTAATTCAAGTATTTGAATTAATTACATAAATCAATTAAAACCAAAAGTTTGTTTCTTACACCATGAGAATAAATATAAAAACATTAATTTTCTAAATATGCTTTATATATATTTTATCAATTTCTTAACTTACCTTTGGATCTAATTCTAATAAATCAGGTGCTAATAATGCTAATGTTGATTCCAATTCTTTTTGTTGTTTATTTTTCTTTTTTATTAATGGATGTTGTTTTTTACATATTGTTGTACTTGCTGCCATTAATGCAGCCAAATCAGACTCATCATCAATAACTTCATCTTCAACTTCTCCCTCTCCATTTTCTTCAGTAATATCAATATCACAGTGAGATTCAATTTCAGTTATTCCATCCATTTCATGTTGTAGAATATCTGTTTCTAAAGGTTCTATAGAATTTTCAATGACACTTCTTTCTACATTATTATTGTTCATTTTATCAGATAATTCACATGAAGCATCAGTATTACCAGTATTTTCTATCTGTATTTTTTCAGGATTATTTTCTTTTGAAACAGTTTCTGGTTTTTCTGGTTTATTCAATGTTGGATCTTCTTTAGGAGAAACACACTCTTTAGAATCTGTTTCAGATTTGTTAAAATTCTGTTTTACATTTACGCTTTTATGGGATTTTTTATCTGTTGTTTTTTTAATTGGACTAGAAGGAAATTGGAGTCTAGGCAAAACTCTTCTTTGAAAACTATATTTTTTCAAAATCGGAGAAATCTGCTTTAAAGGTGAAATATGTTTCTGTAAATTACGTGAAGTTCCATAAGAAGAAACAGTTGGACGGGGTAATATGGGATTATATTTTCTTTTCTCTGGAGTCTTAGTAATAGGAGAAGTAACAGCAGTTTTCATAAACTGATGAGATGAGACAATAGTAGATGGAGAAATTTTTACATATACAGGTGATGTTCTGACATTTTGAGAAGCAGAGACAACTATTGGTAATGGTGCAATAACTGTAGAATGTCTTTGCATGAATGGTTTCTATTAAAATAGAATTATATTATTAGCAATAATAAATTCATTAAAAATAATAATTCTATAATATTTTGGATTCTATTACTTTAAACTAAAAATTAAATGTGAAAGTTGTAAAATATTTAGAATATCTTTTCATTTTAAATTTAATATAAATCATATTTAAAAAATCTATAATTAATACATAATTATTTTATTTACCTATGTGTTTCTTACAGAACAGATATATATATATATAAAGCCAAATTAACTTTAAATTATGATTTAAAAATTATTTCAAACTTTATGATTCATTTTCATTTATCATGAATATTTGATAAAATATTGATTATTAAATACAAATTTAACATAGTTTTGAATTATATATAATTAAAGTCTATCTAAATAATTGAAAAAACATAACTATAATTATAATAAAATAAAAATAAATTTGCTTCATTTATTATATTTTTCATAATTATTTCAGCATGAATTGAAATTAAACATGATATATAATTTAATATTAATAATTTAAATTTGTATTTGAAATATTGCTCCAAAGTTATTTAAATATGCAATAAAGTTAAAGAGATTTGAAAGTAATCCAAAACATTTGAACACAAAATTTTACAAAAATTTGTCATGGAGTTCAAACAATGTTTCAAAGCTTGAACTGCACACACAGTAAAAAAAAAATGTACTCAAAGCATAAATGCAATCTGTTGTGTGTCCAAGTAATTTCTCACTCTCACAATATACTTGTATTTTTTCAGTGCTGTTTTTGTTTTATTTTTGGTGTGTTTGGTTATATATATACTGTACAATGTGTTATTCATTGATATTTTACAATTTCTTCCTGCAATTTTTCTTTGTCAACAGTTTTTGGGTGTCTTGCATGTTTTGTAAACTTTAGTTCAAAATTTCTGTAATGAAACTTTTTAAACTATATTGAAAGTATGTTATTGCTAATTAATTAATTATTATAAATTTCATAAAAATAAGATAAAGAATTACTTCTGGATGATATATAAGATAATAATAACTAATATTAATATATTAATATCTTATCACTAGTTTAAAAGTAATTTCTTTGATTAGAAGTGAAAGTTCTAATGTGAGTAACTACTCAATCTGCTAAAGTTTTTTATAATAATCTTTAGTAAAAAATATTCTGCAGAATTAATTATTATAGAATTTACATACATTTGAACCACGTTTCTAATGATGTTTTGTAAGGAACCAAGTCCCAGCGTTATTTTTAGTTACTTTTATTTTTGCTTATTATTTTATTTTTGTTTGGGGCTTATGTTTTGTTAGGACGAAGGTTTCCTCACCATTCACCTTAGAACTTTAAAAAATAGAAGAGAAACCAACTCACCGACGAAAGAAAAGCGCCGTAGAAAAAACTCACGCACACTTGCGTTCCCTACGGGAAAAAAGTAAGTCCGCACCGAGAAAAGGGGGGAGACCCCACAAGCATGAATCAGGGACTCGCTAAACCTTAAAGAATAAAAACATCCCGAAAAATGTCAAAAAGAATAATGTAAAAGGTTAGCGAGTATTGTCGGAAAATAGGCTGCCAGACAAACAAGAAAAATTTATTGTTTAGCGTTAAGTATGTAAATGAGGGGAGTGATCTCATTCAGAATTGTGACGTCACCTCACACTAAAAATCCCGAGCCTCAAGTGAAGACGGGACGAGGTGAACTTCTGATAGCAACGAGCGTTGGTGAGCTTCGTAGCAGTGAACCAGAGAGGTGTCAGATAGGATCAAATAGTTACAAGACGATTTTGAAGTTATTCGAGACGATTAGAGAAAGTCTTGAGAGTTGAGGAAAAAGGTTCCTAGTATATTGAGGTGGCGATTAGGACCTTTATTTCATAAGAATTTATTGTTACAAGTTTAAGTCTTTGAATTTTGTCGAATTCCAAAGGGGAATAGTTAAGTTAGAAAATAATTGATTTTCATTGAATAAATCGTTGTTTGATTTTTACTAAATCTTGTATATAGTTATTATTAGAACTTTATTAAATATTATTGAATTGTTTATTGACTAACTTTGTCATTATTTAATTCGGTGCACGCTAAAGTCCAGACCTGGCACGTTAACGCGAATCCGTGTAAAGTACCCGTTAGGTAACGGCTATTTCCGGAACACAGTCATGTCAACAATCGTTGTAGAGGGCGGAAAATTAATATAGTACTTTACAGTTTTACTTTAATTTAATAGTCAAAAATTAATAAAAACTTGGTAAATGTGTAGTGGCTGGCATGCAGATGATGCCCAAGTATTGATTAACACAGTAATTAGATCTATTTTTGATCATTTTAATTACAGGAATATGGTTTTTTAATTTTTAATATCTTCATTTTGTTTATAATTAACTTACATGAAATTATTTCTAATATTCTTTTTATTTCATAAACATGAAGTAAATTTTTGTTTTTATATAAAACTAGCTTACCCGTCGCGCATTGCTGCGATCTCTGAAGAAAGGAAATTCAAGCAAACTCGTTATGATAAAATGTAAATTGAATTTTCATTTTTATTGAAACTTATTATTCATTTTCATCGGAAAAACATTTCAAAGTGTCGTTTCAATTCTATTTATTTGAGTTCTTGTGGCTACACGATATTTTTTGTTTTTCCGCCTGGTGCGTACACGAATAAATCAAAAGTTTTCCGACGCGTGAGCCGGCCACATAGTTGTCCCATGCGATTCTCCAAATTTAGCCCATACACTCACAGCGATTGTCAGAAGTGCGATATTCCCCATTTTTATATATTTTAAAATCCTTTATAATTTTAATTATTTAATTGCTCCTTCCTCTCTTCCTTGGCATGTTGTGAAATTTCTGATAGTTGGATAATAAACCGTTTTATTGTAATTTGTCTTTTTAAATTATTTTGAGTCGATATTAAAATTTGGAAAAGGGG